AAAAAGAAGTCCTCTTCTACAGGGTGGTGGTGGTCATGGCGGTGGTGGTGGAGGCTTCCCCCACCACTCCAGGTGAAGATTTTCACAGCTCAGCTCCCCTGGCACATCTCTGGAGGAGGAAGTGAAGGAGTCCTTCCTCTCCAGAAGGATCACTCTTTGAGTCCTAAAGGAATTGAGGAAGGGGGGCTGCCCCCCGCTTCAGGGTGTTGAAGATGTATGGTGGGTATACGGAGAAGTTTGAAAGTGAAATTGCCATGCATACCCAAAATTTGGGCATTACTTCTGCAGTCTCTTCCTGCTGGGCCATCTATATGGCTGAGAAGCTAACAGTGAGAGGCTCCAAAATGTGAAAGCGGGCTGAAATATTTATATTGTGCTGTAAAAAACCAACCCACCCTTCCCAAACCCTTTTTAACTTCAGTGCCTTAACTACTGCAAAAAGATATTCTGTGTTTAAAGGCAGTGACTTCACCCCTCTAATTAAAGACCTGGAGCACTTGGTTGGGTACTACTTCTTAGAGGAGATCTCTGATGCAGGAAGATGGAGCTCAGGGCTGCACTTTTATAGTCTTCCCCATCCCATCTACTGGAAAGAAAGTACATGGGGAGGGGAGAGATGGGGATGGGGTGACAATGGCCTCTGTGCCATGAGCTTTGTATGTTAAAGCCTAGAGAAGGATCCTGTGAGATCTAAAGATCCTATGAGATCTAAAGCCTAGAGAAGGACCCTATGGCAAAACCCAGAGCAAGTTTTAGACACTGTGGGTTCAGTCCTTGGCTCTGACACGGCCTTTCTACACAGCACCTTGAGCCATTGCTTCGACCACCAGTATCTCCATTTGTGAAATGGGATGATGTCTGTTCTTCCTGCCATGCATTGGTCTGTCTTGTCAGTCTGCATGGGGTATACTCTAGGTGCTCTGATCCCATCTGTAAGGGCCGAGCAGTTTATAAGAGACAGAAGATGGTGACCTTGAGGGTTGTTTTTTCTTCTCACATGCAGCAGGAGTTGCCATCACCTGCTGCCGTCCCTCCATCAGTTCATCCCAGTGTAAATGCTGCTTTTAATGACAACTTCCCTGTTTTCCTTCAAGTTTCACGACGAAGGAAAATTGCTCATTTTTCTTCCGCGTGACTCACAGCTCTGAGGTTTTATCACTTTCATGTCTGGAGGCAGTGGGAGGAGGAAAGCCCTTGGATAAATAACAGGGAGGCATTTCAGTTCAGTTCCATCTCAGCATGTTTTCCCCTGTTCCTGCCACACTCTCATGTGGAGAAAATCATTAGAGACATTTACTATATGCCAGTGAGGGTTGCACTCATTTAAGTACAACAATACCAGCTCTGGGAATTCAAAACAAAATTATTTTTCTTCCCACGGAGCTCAGCATCATCTTCTATGTTGGCAGCTGTCAGTCGGTCTCTCCTAATCTGTTGGAAATAAATATTTTTTTCTGAATTGGTGATTTTATCTGAATTGGTACCTACTCCAGTTTCTTGATCCCATCTCAGCATTTGCTTCATGAAGTCACGAGCGCTTGCGGGAGCCAGGTTTTCGTGGGCGCCTTACCGGTACCACTCTGGGGACATGGTTCATCTAACCTGTCGCTTTCTGTCTCCTGATGCATTGCATTTCTTTTGTCCTGATTTAATGACTCTTGGGGAATGGGAATCTCTTGTTCGTCTCCTCGGTCTTTCAGCCATGGGGATGAAGCTGACTGGCATGGCGTGGAGGTTTGCTGTCCTCCAGAAACACCTCCTCATGTGAGACTGGACAAGCAAGAGTGGCTCTTCTGGGTGCGCACATGGTGAATTAGTGATGTCCTGCTTAAAATGCGGGATGCTGTTGAATAGGATGGTGGCCTTCTGTGGGCATGTCTTGGTAGTGAGATGCTTTTTAGGGGGCAAGCTCTTATTTGGTCCATACAGAGGGGAGGGCAGGATCTTGCAAAGGATTTCTGTAGGGTATGGTCAGGGCTATGCATTGGACCTTCAGAGCTGGTGCTAAGCATTTATTACATAGCTATTTTATATACTTATTTTGACTGGGATAACGGTGTTATTTCTTTGCTGTCCCCTAGCCTGTCTACTTGAACCTTACCTCCTGTCTCGTCTCGTACTAGCTCTCTGGGACAAGAGCCGTCGTTGCTGTGTTTTGCACTTGGTAGGCGCAGTGCTGCCATGCGGATAGCAACGAAATGAGGAGCATGGGTCTGTGCGTGGGTCTGTGCTCTTGGAGGCTGTGAGCCCAGGTGGGTTGACAACACAGTGCCATGGTTATGGTTAACCTTGTTAACCATAACCTTGGTTATGGTTAACCTTGTGCATAGGCTGGAGTTAAAAAGTCAAGCTAGAAGTGAAAAAGCTGATGATGTGAGATGGGTCAGAAAGGAAAGGTAACAGAAGCAGATGTTCAGCTTAGTGTAAGAGATGCAAAGGCAAGGTGGCAGGACCACGTCCAGAAAACCTTCTGTTAGGATCTTGATGCTTCCCCATGAATTGCAGCCCTTCTCCTGCATCAGCCTGAAACACGTGAAGCAGAACACTCTATGGAAAGACAAGAGGGATTTTGAAGGAAGTCGGATGCGTTTGTACTAGGCAATGCCAGATTGCCTGGTTGGGCACCGCCCTGCTCAGCCCTGAGCTCATTCCCATGGCCAGGAGTCCGGCACCTCTGTCCCCTCCCAAGGAATTGCCCGGTCCTGAGGGATCGCCATGTCACAACGTAAATCCCCTCCATGGCTGGAGCTTGGGCACATGCAGCACGTCCTTCAGCATACCCCAGAGTCCTCAGGAACCTGGAGGAGTGCTGTGGTTGGCTTTGTAGTGCAGCTGCAAAGCATTTCATGGGTGGGATGAATGAAAGGGTGGAAAATATTCAGAAATGAGGCTTTTTTTCTTTTTTATGAAGCTTTTCCTTTTAATAAGAGAAGTCAGGCTGGAACAAAAGCTCTTTTTTCTGTTTTCCATTGAAATTTAATGGTCTCTTTAGAGAGAGAGGGCTTTACGACAAGAAAAAAAGGGAAGAGGCATCTGTGAGATGATGTGAACACGTGGAGGCAGGAGGAGGGACACATGCGTGTTTGTCCCCAGTCCCCCTCCTTGCTTGAGGAGTACCCTGCACGTTTGGGTAGAGCTCTTGGCATAGCCCACAGTATCCTTTGCCGCATGTCAAGCCGTAAGAGTTGCTGTGGACACGTCCCCATGGCTCTCATGATAAGGGCTCTCCTCTCCAAGGGGAAACGTATTTTTCTCCCAGTCCCTGAGGATCCAGGTGAGAACAGCCATGCCAGGTCAGATCAAGGCTTCAAAGCCAAGGGTGCTGCGTCTGGTCCTTGGATAGGAGTCCAAGGGCAGGCTGGTGTACACAGAATGTAACTGCTGTGAAGCACCATGTATAAAGGGGATGGTCTGTGTCCAGCTCTTCTAGTAAGGTCAAAAGCGTGACATATAGCTTGATTTTGACTGAGTAGGTGTCTTCAATGGATGCAGGTGCTCAGCTCATCTGTCAGATTGGATGAGGCAAGCAGAGGAAGCAATTGGTTGGGATGTCCACTCAGATGGCTGGTAGTCCACAGCAGCAAACCATGGAGCAAATCTGTTCTGCCACCAGCAGGACCAGCTCACCTTGCACACATTTCCTTTCCTGCAGATGTGCCGGCGAGTGTACAAAGGGATCCCGCTTCAGGTGCGAGGCCAGGTCTGGTCGCTTCTGCTGGACGTCGAGAAGATGAAGAAGGAGAATGAAGGAAAATATGAGGTACGGGCTCTTTCTGGTAAAGACAACGGGAGCAAGGTGATGGGGAGGCTGGTTTGGTGGGGCTTCACCGGCTGGGGCAAGTCGGACCCGTGGGGGATGCAGGCGTCTCCATCTCCACCCACATGGGTAGGAGGGAAATCGGGGTTCCCATGGGGATGCTTTAAGGGGCGGGGGGGACACCCAGCCCTTGCGTCCTCCCTCGCAGGGTAGTGGTGTGTGGAGCGCCCTATAATGTGCACTGGTGGGGGGGGCCAGTCCCATCCATGAACTGCTGTGACCTCTGAGAAGGAAAGGCTTAAAATTAGTAAGGACTGAAAATGCGAAGGGGATAAACTCTTTATCCGTGTGTGTATATTAGGCTGGGGCCTTTTAGCACGTTAGCCAGATGCTTTCCCTAATAACGCTGCTTCTATTTATTCTGCTGGAAGCTGTGAGCAAAGATGCTGGCGGTGTTACTGCATCCTTAGGGAAAGATGCAGGGAAGAGGGAGGGGAAGCTTAGCAAAGGTAGCGCTAGCAGTTCCCTGAGCTCCCTGGAGTGATGCGGAGTAGAGTACGCTAAAGCGGGTAGGTGCTGGATTGGGGGCACCCCAAACCTCTCTCTGTGCTTGAAAATTTCACTCAGGACGTTTTGAAATGAGCAGCAAGGTCAGAAGCCTTAAACCAGCCGACAATGGGTCGTTAGTCGAGAAATCCAATTAAGGGTGAGGTGAGGGCAGGTTTTGCAAGCTTGGGGGGGATTTCTGAGCACAGGGTCCTGGCTTACAACTTAGATATGTAGCTGGAAGTTGACTGGCAGCGTTGGAAGAGCTTGGATTGAAGTGGCTTTTATCTTCCATCTTCAATCTTTTTATAACTGTCTTGAAAGTTTCTATTAAAAATCACTATTAAAAATCAAATAAAAATCATTTTTCTATTAAAAATCACTTATTTTCTCTGCAGATAGGAGAAAAGCCTGCCTTGTATTGCTTCCTACCAGAGCACTGCATGCTGCAGGCTTGGATTCCTTGGTATAAAATAAGCAATTTCTGTAGCATGCATTGAAAAAGAACCTGAGTGATCGGTCTTGCTGTATTTTGTTATTTTTTATTTCAGGCATCTTGGCTCCTTTTCTCCTGTTTCCATAGACAGCATGTGGAAGCCTTTGGTTGATAATTAACTTATTTTCCAAACTTGTGTTATGATTTAGCTTGCATCACACACCCGGGCAAGGATCAGGGTATTGTGGAGACAGTTACATTTCGGAGACAAAAGGTCGAGTACTGCTTCCAGCAGGTGTTTCTAAAAATCCCTGCCTATTAAGCAGGGTGATGCTAACCCTCATTATAGTTAGCGGAACGTAGATGTTAATAGTGAGATGCCGCTGGGATGGAGTCACGTGCAGGGGCTTGGGGAAGGCGGGCTGGGCTCACAGCAATAAGCAGATAACAAAGCTCTCCCAACACGCAGGTCCTTATCATGCTCCCTCCCTCGAAGCTGTGCTGCGCAGGCAGGGGAGCAATCCAAACAAATGAAAGTCGCAGGGAGTTTATCTGCGCTCCAGAGGGGTCTGCGATAAACAGGAGCTTCAGGGCTAATAGGCTTTGCTGGATGCAAACCCCCTACAAGCTCATCTTAATCCTCCTCATCTTTGGTGCCACCTGCTGCCAATAATTAGCTCTCCCTTAATTTCCTCCAGAAGAGGCGTAGTGCAGGTCCTGGATGAGGGGTTTTACTTTCAAGAAGGGACCAAGCCTCAGCCCCAGCCCTGTGTCCTAGAGGGGCTGGTCCCAAGGCCACCCCATTTCTCCTTGGGGCATGAACCATGGCACAAAAGCCTGGCTTTTGCATGTGCCTTGTTTTGAGCATGCCACCTGGCACGTGCCAAGTGATTTATCTTTTTTTATACCCACTGCTCCCTCTGTAGAGATGTTGTCCCCTGCGTTTGGGCTGGTGGAGGAGCTACTTTTCCAGCCAAGTGGGATACCTTGCTCCCTGTGTCCGTGTTGCCTCTGGAGTGATGCAATTGAAAAGCCTGGTTCAGTTGTTAATACTTAATCTTATCCCAGCTGTCCTCCTAGTTCTCCATGCAAGTCTCCGAGTCTTCCTCAAGGTCATGGCAGCTCAGTTGTCCCTGACGCTGCAGGAGCCCACAGGCTACTGTGGGACATGCCACACTTGGTTTGAACGTGGGTGTGATGCTCTGCCTCCCTGGAGTTTTATAGACACAACTGAGAGGTCTTAGGGAGACCTCAGAAGGCAGCAGAAGAAATGTACTGGCCATGGGGCAGAGCAGAGGCATCCTGGCTTTTACCTGCTGCTTTGTAAAAGGTCTCTGGGATGGGACCTCCAGCTTCCCTGCCTCTCCTCTGCCACTGGTTTGCAGGGCTCACAGCACTAATGAGCTTGGCAGAGCATCTGTGGATCCCCTAGGTTACTTAAACAAGGGAAAAAAGGAGAACAACCTGTCCTGGGCTTGTTTACCATCTGCAGAATTAATAAAGCCTCTTGGGTGCATGGAGGTGACAAAGTGCTGTGCAACCTAGCTGCTATTCAGATTCAATGACCTAAAAAAACCCCAAAGTAAGGGTTTTTACTTTGGGAGATTTCTGTGGTGTTCTGGCGGGGAAAACAAGAGGGCCTTTAGCAGGGAAATTTGAACTGAAGTGACCAGTTGCATGTGAATAGTCGTCTTGTCTCAGGTAGTCTGCCTGCTTTATAGAGGGCAAGGAGCCATAGGATGCAGAGAGCACAGGATTTACAGCAGAGAAATTACATTGCTCATCAGATCTTCATTCCATCATCACTTTTATCCTCCCTTGTCTTGTGCAGGCAATAATTCAAAATAACCCCTGCACTTGTTGCTCCTTCATACAGCTGCTTTCAAGGTTGGAGTTAATATTCCCGAGATGCTGTGACTGCCTTGAGCCTTGGCTGTACTGGACGCATATCTGGGTGCTAATGACTGTTTGATGTTCCCCAGAGCTGATGTGGCCACCTTGGGAGGTCAACAGCAGCCTGGAGGTGCCTTGTATCAGGCTGACAAGCATTCGTAGGATGGCAGCTGCTGGAGCAGATTATTAAGTATCTGTGCAGATGTGCTACTTTCTGTCTCCTGTGTGAGCAAGGAGGGGTCCTGACCCTGGGCTCCAGGCAAGCTGGGCTTGCTGCTCATCTCCACTGCCCCTAACCTGCCAGTGGATCTCAGGCTGCCTGAAAACAGTCACAAAATGCATTTTATTAATGCAATTAACCCTGGAGAGCAATTGCATGATCACCAGTGGTATCTAAAGGCTGTGAGATGAGATGCTTGGCTATAGTGTAATGGTCCTTGCCTGCATGCACAGGGCTGAACAGTGGGTTACGAATGGGACTGCAGTGGGATTCATCCATGGAGCATCTTGAGCTTGGGACTCTGAGGGCACAATTGATTGAGGTGGGATTAGCTGTGGTTTGAATTTCCTTTTTTTGCAGTGGACTTCAGTCCTTTATCTGTGTGATGCTGCCTTAAATGATTAGCCAGCATGGGGGGAACATGGGGATTCTTGGTTTTGAATTTAGCTTCTGTTCTGGACTCTGCAAGTTCCTTAGAATTTGTAGCAGTCCAAGGGAATACCCCAGAACTGGTTTTCTCATGGTAACTCCTTAAACCTAAGATGATTCTCCTCTGCAGGGGAAGTAGTAGTTGGAGATCACTTCATAGAGTTCATCATAACAGTTTGGACTTTATTATGACTGAGCCTCTGAAAAGCTCAGGGACTCGCTGCTTATGTCTGCATGTTGGTTATGGAAGTATATCGTTCCTTAAGCACCAACAGAGGTCTCGATACTTTATGACAGCCAGGCTGGGTACCGCAAGGAAATCAAAATAAATCAGAGTGGAATTTAATTGTAAAGGTTTTAGATTCTGAAGACTCAGTATCTGCATTGGCAAATGGGCGAAGGCTAGGTTGGCAGCTGCCACTGTTGTAGCGTGTGAGCATGGGCCAGCAGTGCAGCCGAGGGGCCAGGGATTCACCTCTGGGCTGCAGATCGTTCTCACTGCAAGACGGCAGTGTCCCCACGTCGCTCTGTGATAGCTCTGTGCAGCTCACAAGCTGCCACTCCTGCTGTGGGAAGCATGCCTTCTCGCTGTGTGGAGAGAGGTGTGGGCCGAGATGGTGTCTGACTCCTTCCTCTTTTCTGCCCCTTTCCTTTCCAGCAAATGAAAGAACAAGCAAAGAGCTTTTCATCAGAAATCAAACAGATAGATTTGGACGTTAACCGCACCTTCCGAAACCACATCATGTTTCGGGATCGCTATGGAGTGAAGTGAGTACGGGAGGCTTCACGTGGCTGTACGGGTACCGGTGCCAGTGGGTGTGCATGGGATGAGCTGGATGGGGTGGCCAGCAGCCCCCTGGCTCAGAGCAGCTCACAGCAGAGCAAAGCCATCTCTGCCTGTTCCACAAACCACCAGCACGTGGTACGACCCACAGATGTTGGGCTGCTGATTCTCTCTTTGGACAGGTCCACACTGGACCATGTTCAGCCCCAGTTCTTAAGCCAAGCATCAACCTGTTGTGGTGCCTTCTCTCCCAAGGTGCTAGGGTTGCAGTTGCAGAGGGCTTGGTTTGGGATGATGGGGTGGGGCTGTCAGGAGCTGGGTGGGATGGGGCGTACGTGGCCTCCACAACAGATGGGGTTGGAGACGTTTGACAAAGTGGCTTTGTCACTTGGATGAGTAACACCTGGCTGCCCTACACAGACGTACGGTCTGTGAGGAAGCCTGCACTGCGTATCTATACGGTGATGACTCCTTTAGCAAGGAGGGAAGGGAGAAAGGAAGATACTAATAAAATGGTGGCAGTGCCTTCCCCCAGGGTGTGTAACACTTGATGCCTGGGTGGTTGCAAGTCTGTTTAAAAACCCACCACCACTCCAAACCTGAAGACTGGGTGTGCTGAACACGGTGCATGTGGGTACATGCATGTCTCTCCAGGAGACCTGCTGATGGAGCAGGATGGCTCAGCCCCACTTCACGGGGCCATTGGGCACTCCCCCCTGAAGGAAGAGGTCCCATCCCATGTGCCCATCAAGGTGCTTTCTGGTTCTGTGAGCCCTGCTCCTTGCAAAAGGCATAAGTACCAGCTGGCTGGGTGTTTTCAGAGCCTTTGCTCTCTGTGTGTACGTGTTGATGTGCACACAAAGCTGGAGACCTCACACTCAGGTGTTTTAATATCCTTCTTTCTTCCCAGGCAACAGGCACTCTTCCATGTCCTGTCAGCGTACTCAGTTTATAACACCGTAAGTAGTAAGTTAGTCAAGTTAAAGTGAATAGCATTGTGCTTTATTTTTATTTATATATATATATATATGTATATATAAAAAAATTTTTTAGAAAGCGTTATATATATTTATGTATGTGTATACATGTATGTTTGTGTGTGTACATATATACACACGCACACACACTCCCCACATTTAGCCAGTGGTAATTCTGATTTTAAGTCTTAATACTGGTTTGTACAGACAGCTGCAAGACTTGCAGGCAGCACAAGGCTCTGCACAGCTGTTTCATTCCCTTGTTCATTTTGTCACCTGGTAAATGACATCTGGCAGATGTGGTTTGGGCGAGTGTCAGCAAAGAAGATTGCCCTTTGACTTTCCAGCAAGACTAGCCTCCTGGCTGAAGGTCCGTTATGTTTCTGACTTCTTGTCATACACTGAATGGCATCCTTGTTGAAAACACTGATTTATTACAGTGAACCGGTCATTTTTAACTGAAGGGCATGGGCAGAATAAGCCTAAATTAGCAGCTGAACCTACTGCCTCCATCTCCAGGAGGGGACAATTACCCCGGAAGGCACAGAAGATGCTCAGGGGGGTTAGTCAAGGAAACAAAGACCCCGCCTTCCCTCATACCAGATAAATGCTTATCAGATTTATTTACTCTTTAATTACTTCAGTTCTCACATGGCTGAAGGAATCCAAAACAACACATGCTGTTTATCATCCCATGCCCTATTCCTTGAAGTAGCTGCAGGCACCTCTTACGTTGGGGTTTCTGTCCCTCACCCTCCAGGCTTGAGCAGGGCTGGTGGAGGGAGCGGCGTGGTGGGGCCATTGCCTGCAAGCCCATCACCTCCCGCTGGAGCACCTGCTAGAGCAGGTCTGGAGGAGGGCCATGAAAATGGTCAGAGGGCTGGAACACCTCTCCCATGAAGAAAGGCTGAGAGTTGGGTATGTTCAGCCCAGAGAAGAGAAGGCACTGGGGAGACTTTATTGTGGCCTTTCAATATATAAACAGGGCTTATAACAAAGACAGAAAGACTTTTTACCAGGGCCTGTAGTGACAGGACAAAGGGCAACGGTTTTATACTGAAAGAGGGTAGGTTTAGATTAGGCATAAGGAAGACATTTTTTACAATGAGGGTGGTGAGGCACTGGAACAGGTTGCCCAGAGAAGCTGTGAATGCCCTGTCATTGGAAGCATTCAAGGTCAGTTTGGATGGGGCTTTGAGCGACCTGATGTAGTGAAAGATATCTCTGCCCACGGCAGGGGGTTTGGACGAGATGATCTTCAAAGGTGCATTCCAACCCAAAGTGCTCTGTGAGTCAGTGACATGGTAGATGCTGTAGACTTAAGGAAACCGTGAATCTGGACATAAACTATAAAGACCTGGAAATGGGACAGACCTTGAAAGAGGAGAGGGAAGCATAGACGGCCTGACCTACTTCTGCAGCTTTAGCATCATGGTGGAGTCTGATGGCATGGCAGCACATGTGCCCCTCTTGGCTTTTGCAGGAAGTGAGCTACTGCCAAGGGATGAGCCAGATCGCAGCCATCCTCCTGATGTACTTAAATGAAGAGGATGCATTTTGGGCACTGGCACAGCTGCTGACCAACCAGCGGCATGCCATGCATGGTAAGGCTGGGGCGGGATGCGGATGGGGGCTCTTGCAACGGGAGGGAAGTCTGTTCAGGTTGGTCGGTAGAGCCTTGTTTCTCCTCACATACTTGTTTAAAGCGGGTAAGGCTTAATTATGTGGCGACGCAACCCGACTATGGAGCTGAGCTTCACTCTTGGAGGCAGACAAGTTCATCAGAGAAAATGTGGTTTATCGTCACTGAACTTTAGTGCTCAGTAATTAACACTTTCACAGCAGTGCTATCTTCCCTCCAGAGTGCCTTGCCCTTGGCAATCAATTAACTCAAGGTTATGAGTTTTTAAGAAGTCTCACAGAAGTACGTCCAAGAGCATCATGTAATGCTCCATTGTTAGCATGCTACAGGCTATGTGCCCTTATGTTTTTATGAAGATGTAATTCCACCAAATGTGCTGTATTATTTTACTTCAAACGCATTAAAGATCCTTTCATCTTACTTGTGGTTAGCAGTAATCTCCACACAGAGGGTTATTTTATGAGCGGAGGGCTAAGTCTTACGGCTTGATAACTCCAGACAGTCTTAAACGTGTGTCCTGCTAGGTTACGGAGCACTGCACAAGCTTGTGGTGTTCAAACATCTTCAGCTTTTCTCTGAACCTTGGTAAGCATGCTGAGGGTGCTGTAGCCCATGTAGACGGGGTGAAGGGCAGGCTCTGGGAGGGATGCCAAGGAAGGTAGTTGGGCACGCTGTGGTCCAGCTGACTTCAACAGGCAACGCAGGGGGATGAGTTTCTAGAAAATCAGGCTGCCCCCATGACTGTTCCAGAGCTTTACTGATTATTTTTTATTTCTCTCATCTTTTCTCATTAAGGTTTTTTCATTCCTGGGTTCCCGAAGCTGCAGAGATTTCAAGCTCACCACGAGCAGATTTTAAGCAAACTGTTTCCCAAACTGAAGAAGCACATGGTATCTCTTTGCTATCAGTCTCCCTATACTAATATCGTGTTTTAATGCTAAAGCAATTAGTGTGATGTTCTGCAAAATAGATGCACAACTGAACAGATTTGTAACTGCGTAGGACTGCTTCAACCACAAAGAGGCAAGCATTTATTAAATGGGGCGCCTGAATCTTGCTGAGGCAAATGGTTATAATTTGCTTGCTGGTCATCATTAGTGTAGGGACTGCTAAAATCTAAAGTCTTCCTTAGGAAATCCAGGCAGGAAGGCTCCCAGAGCCTGCAGCAAAAGGAGCTGTTGCATACAGCCGTGAGGCTGGGCTGTGTTCTTACACCAGCTGCAAAGCCCAAAGAGTGATGCTGGACTCTCTGGAGTCTTAATTCAATAATTATTAGTCCCAAGTGCTTGCATTTAATGGCTTTGCTGTTGTTTAAAGACAGGAGGTAAGATTTGCTGTGTGTTTTGTTGCTTGGGCACATCCACTTGTTTTTGTCTCTAGCAGATGGTAGAAACCCATTTGGTGGCTGGAGGAGCATCTGCAGGACACATCAACTGCAGTCTAATGTCTAGGCAACTATTTTGCAACACCTGCTCCCTTTTTTTTTCCCCTTGTCCCACCTTGCATTTGCTGTAGACAGCTGGTATTCAGTAGCCAGACTCCTGAAGGTTTCTTATGTGCTCCCAAGGGGCTCGATGGCCCGGCTCCAGGAAAAGCTGTTTATATTACCATCATGTGCAACAGCTCTTGCTTCGTGCTGCAAACAAGCCAGCTCTGGCCATATAAGTGAAACAGAGCCAGGACAGGTTTTCACTTAATTATAGCCACAGGAGTGGGGAAACCTGGTGGGGGGAGGATGGGAATAACTCTCTGAAAGCTGCTTGTGCCTCCTGGCTCCCAAAGGCTCACCAGGCTTGCAGGTGCCCAGCACCAGCCGAAAGCAAAGACCGGAGCCAGCCATTAATCCCATGGGCTTCTTTCTCTTCCCATCCCCACTGCTTTGCTGGCTTTGCAGCAGTGGTCACATCAACTTTGTGCATGTGCAAGGTGCTGTGCATCCTAGCACCAGCCATTCCACGCCATCAGCCGTGCCAGAAAAAGCAAAGGTGTGTGTGAGCGCTCACCAGGTGCCAGGCAGGGATGGAAAAGTGATAGACTGGGGTGATGTTGGTGAGGTTTTTAAGAGTTTTCCCTAGCCTGTCAGACTGTCCTGCTCCTGCAGCAGCCATGCTATGCAAGTGACGTAGTGCTAGCAAAGCCGCCTTGACTATGCAGGTCTGGATTTACCCGTGGGATACTTGGGGTTAATCATTTTTGTGGTGCTCCGAGAGGCTCACATGGGAATTGCTATGGAAACAAAAACACTAGTCTGCAAGGAGTGCTCATTTTGGTTCCTGGAAGGTTTTTTTGTAAATCCCTGGAGTAGATATTAGGCCAGAAAAGCTTCTCCTAGAAATCCCTCTCCAAAGTTGTGGCTGAAGTCTGGCCAGGTTGAGGATCAGGTTCAATGAATATCTTGGGCAAAGGGCCAAAGCAGGGCTTCAACATTGGTATTTAAAGCAAGGACTTTGTTGGGAGACAAACTGCAGTCAGATCCTGCACCCAGACCCCAGCCAGCCAGCCAACCAACCAACCTCCCCAAAAGCCCTACGAGTTGCTTGAACCTCCAGCAGCCAGCCTAGTGAAACGCCTGTCTCTTTGCTGTCTCCTTCTAGGACAAGGAGCAGATGACTACAGGGATTTACACGACCAAGTGGTTCCTGCAGTGTTTCATTGACCGGGTGAGGATGCTCTGCAGGTTGTTTGCTGCTCTGCCGCTTGCATGCATGGTTAATCTGCCTGTTTTTTTGAAAAAGTATCATAATTTGAGGAAGGTCTTAGTATTCTGTACGGTGAGATATTATGCACTTTCATAAGGCAGAAAAATTAATAAGGGAGACGCTAAAAATAATTGCATGTCACTGATGACAAGCCAATTTCTGCTGCCTCGTCACAAGTGGTCACTGGGAGATGGCTCAGCAGCAGCAGTATAAGCTTCGAAGTTGGGAGAGATCTTTCTCTTGCCCACTGGCACTGCTGCAAAGGCAATTAACCTTGCTTTGGCTCTGGAAACAACATAGGCAGAAGAAGAGCTGGAGGCACAAACCTGAACAAATAGCACTGCAGTAGCTGCAGGCAAAGGAGCGGGCTGGGCACTGGAGACACATGAAAGCGTGAGAAAATTGCCCTGATTTGTCCAGAGCTAATTTGCTAGTCCCAAGCCAAGACTGCTTTATTTTTAGGGGCAGCATTGTGCCTGCACACTTGAATGCAAGATCCCGACTTGCTAATGTTTATGACATCTGTGTGTCCCCAGTCTCAATTTTCTGCTGCCCTGTCTCCTATAAAACAGCAGATGACCTCTTCCCCTTGAGAGGGAACTCACTGCTTTGCAGTCTGTCACTAAAAGCTGTATAAAATGCAAAATCCCTTTAACTGCAGTAACATGTAGTAAAAGCTGCAACAGCCAGTCATGCCAGGCTCTGGAGAGTAAGCGCAGCATCCTAAATTTGAACTTGAATGTCACAATAGGACTAGTATTAATTTCTGTGTTGATGAGATGCCTTAAATCTTTGCTGGGAGATGATGGGCTGCTCCATTATTTTGGGTATCAATTTACTCCTGTTTGTCAGATTGGGTCTGAGTGCAAATGAAACCTCTTGGAGATGCTTTTCTAGCAGGCAGAAATAAGCCTGTGTATAAGGGAGACCACTTCTCTAGACACCACAGGAGTGATTTTTTAATGCTTAGTGAAGCACCATTGGGCCTTCAGACCTATCCCATAATTAGCCCTTCATCTGTTTGGGCAATTTGGATGGATACAGGAGTGGTTTTATGCGCCCGCAAAGCTGAAAAATGATGATGCTCCCTCCAGGGTAGGGGAATCCATGTGCTAGTATGCCCATGTGGAAAGTTTCTCCTTTTTCTGAATTTGCGGCCAGGTTTTAAGTACTTTGGCGGCCACCCAAGGGTGTTAGCTTTAAGGCAAAACCACAGACGATAAAATAGTTTTTTGTATTATAGATGAATCCTGGATATCCAATGCCTCACCCTGTTGTCTGTTTTGGTGCAAGGGGATGTAGCGATGCCACCAACCTCTGTATCATCATCCCATCAATCAGTGCTAACGAGTGTGGTGCTAACGAGCTGGTTTTTGTTTGTGTGTTTGAAACAGACCCCCTTCACCCTCACCTTGCGGCTGTGGGATATCTATATCCTGGAAGGAGAGCGGGTGCTGACAGCCATGGCTTATACCATCCTCAAACTGCACAAAAGTAAGGTCCCAGCAGAGCACGTCTTGTATGGCAGAGGTGGCACCATGCTGGGCCACCCTTGTGCTGCCAACCTGGAAAGCCTTGCTGGCCACTACCAGCCTACTTGGTGCCCTGCGCTGGCCCCAAAAGGTGCAGTCCTGTGCCAGTGCTCCAGGGAGGAAAGGAGATGCCGCAAGGGTTGAAATCCTGCACTCAGCACACAGCAAACCCCACTTGAAATGCTCCCAGCTGCCCCTTTCTGCATGCTCTGCTCCATACCTTTTATCAACACCCTTTTAGGGGCAATACAGACAACAAACTCTGTCTGCAAAGCTCTATGTGGCAGTTCAGCTGAAAAGGCTGTAGAGGGAGAAATAAATCCACTAGTACACTTCTAAAATTACCAAAACCTGGTTTTCTTACATAACATTAAGGCAGTGATGCTTCTACCTCAAGATGTCTGGGGCTTTGAACCCCTCTGCTCCCATAAGCTAGCAGCCTTGCTTTGTCACCCTGTTAGGTCTTTAATCTGGGACAGGAGCGATGCTGATATTGCACACTGGGAAGCTTTGGGCCAGTGGGATTTATGGGACTGCGTGTGTTGGCTTTTGCAAACAGCCACCCTGCTCTTCCTTCAGTTGACTGAAGAACAGGCTATCCAAAAATACATCTTCAAGTATCCCATTTGTTTGCAAAGACTGGGAAACAGGCAGGCAGGCAGAAATTTCAGCCTGGCTGTGAAATCATCTCTCCTCCCTGAGGAATGTGTGGTGCAGATCAGCATCTGTGCCTGCATCCTGTTGCTGCCTGCATCCCATCCTTGCCTGCATCCCTGGCGTGGGTCATAATCCCTGCCTGCTGGCTGGGGCAGGGTGGGCTTTCCTGGCTGGGGGTGGCAGCTGCCAGCAGTGGCTATTTGGTCTGATGCTCAGGGTCTATCTCATGGAGCTTTTCCTCCTCCTAGAGGTATTGGTGAGAACTTCTAGAAATGGCCCAAAATGTGCATCCTCGTCAGCATAGGTCCCAGCCCCTCTATCGTCCTGCTGAGCTACTGCCCAGAGGTGGCACAGATACGTAAATGTAAATAGACAACCCTGAGCAACAGTGGGAAGGTGGGAGAGAGGCAAAAACGTTCAGGCTGTCCCAGCCCAGATTGGGAACAGCAGCAGAATCCCAGATAAAACCAAAGCAGCGCAACCCACGCTCATGCTACCCTGCAATTTGGCCGTGCCGCTGCCATTATTCCTTTCTACCATCCCCCAGAGCGCTTGCTGAAGATGACGCTGGAAGATTTACGGGAATTTCTGCAGGAGAAAATTGCCGCTTCCCTGCAGTACGAGGACGATGCCGTCATTGAGCAACTGCAGGTGTCGATGACTGAACTGCGCAAGATGAAATTTGACCTCCCCCCGCCAGGTGGGTAGAGGGGAAGGCAGGCAGCCCAGCGGGAACGGCTGGTAGTACCCATGTCCCCTGGGGACCAGAGCATCCCTCTGGCATGGCTGGGAGCCAGGGCAGCCCAGAAGGGCTGGCATCCGCTGGGTACAGCATCTGCCTTCACTGCAGTTGGAGCATGCTGGATGCAAAAACGAACTGATGCACAGTTTGGGTTTTATTTTGTTTTCTCTGCTTCCAATGCAGCAAAGCCTGAGGAGTTCCCACGGAAACCCCTGGGCCTGGAGCTCTCCCTCAACCCAGTAGCCATGAAGGGCAACGTGGCAGCCAACGGCCAGAACGGCCGGGTGGGCGAGCATCCCCCAGACAGGGAGCCCCATCCGCACAGAGGTCCCGGGGCACCCGGAGGAACGACGGCGGTGGAGGCGAGGACTCCCACCCTCCAGGGCAGTGAAGCAGCTGAAGCAACAGACATTCACTTGCATCCTCCTGGCAGGGGGCTGCCAGGAGAGGAGGGTCAGGTGGAGCCCACCAGGGACGGGCAGCCACTGTCTCTTCTGAAGGCAAGTGAGATGCAGGCCCATCATCACCTGCCCACAGCCCTGCCTCTGGAGCAGCCTCTTCTCATTCCCGGCCATGCTGTGGTGGACCATGAGTCAGTCTCCCTCCCTGCCCCGGCTGAGCACGGCTCCTTGGACTCCTCTCTCCAAAACATGCCAAGTGCTCCCGACTCAAGCACTGCTGAGCTTTCCGCTATGGACCATGCAGTATCGCAGGCGAATCCTGGTGCCCTGCCGGCTGGAGAACAAGCATCTTCCCTTTGCAAAGAGAAAGTGCTTGATGCACTTCCTCATCCTCTCCCGGGCAGCTGGCAGCGGCTCTCCGGCGTGTCGCAGCACAACGGCTGCCCCGAAAGCGAGCACGGGGAGGAAACGGTCGAGAAGCACTGCAGAGCAGCGCTGCCGGACAAAATGGACTTGAAGCGCTTGGAATCCAAAGCTGCATCCACGGGGGAGCTCACCAGCCTGCAGCAGAACGGGCCAGGGAGCGCCACCAGCACCACTCACTGGCTGGAGGGCTTTGGCCCGCTGCCCGCGCACGGGCTGGTGGGTGGCAGTGTGCCCATCTTATCCAGCAGCGAGTTGGAGGCAGCAGGGCTGGGCAAGGGCTGCCCCTTCCAGCGGTCGCCATCCCCCACAGTGGAGGGGAACAGCCCCCACACCATTATCAAAACCACCACTCCCCTCCACCTGGCCCATGCAACGGAGCAGGACTTCTCGAACAGAAAGCAGGTGGCATTGCCTCTGCTGGACACTGGATGTCCCCTGCCTGCCACCTCCATGCCACCACCTCTTGCACTGGACCCAGAGGAGGCAGATGCCCAAAAAAGCATCCAGAAACCATTAAACGCACTGAAAGCCCCACGACCACCCCTGAGCCCCAAACCAAAATTCCTGCCACAGGTTGCCAAATCCCATTCGGAGAACAGTTTCCTTTCAGGCTCTCCTCCCCTGGCAAAGCTGCCCAAATCGGTGACGTTTTAGAGGGGATGGGGGGAAGTGAGGGACAGGAAGCGGGTGCTGGAGCAGCACTCTCACCCCGTTTTCGGGACCCCCCCCCTTCAGCAGGGCTGTATCGGGGTGACAGCACAGCAGCCATTGCCTGTCAAGCTGTGCTTTGGTACGAGTGCCCGGCGAGGAGATGGAGCGGTGGCCGCCAGCACGAGGAGGCACCAGCAAATTGGGTTTGCATCTTTCCTATGGACAAATTGGAAAGCGCTTTCATTTTTTGTTCCTCAGAGCTCCCCAAGCCTTGTCACATGTCGGGGGAGAGGCAGGGCTGGTGAACGTGTTGCGTGTTTTCTTCTGCTTGTGCCTGCCATGGGTACCCATGGCCATGGAAGTGGGAGCAAGGCGTAGGAGTCCAAAATGCTTTCTTTAAAGTACCTGATCAGTGCAGCCAACAGCATTGCTTTCAAAGGCCTTTGTAGCAATAGACCTTTATTTCTTTTCCCACACCCACAGTTGTAGGCAGCAGCATTTTCAGGCAGGGCCATGGCGTCCCGGTAGGGTGCAGGCAGCCCGCTGCCTACTCTATGCAATTCCACAGAGCAGTGCCCAGGTGTAGCCGGCTCATGCTGTGGTGGTGAATGGTGTCCCGGAGGGGAGGTTTAACAGCTGCTGAGTGCCTAGGGGGTCTCCTTGGTGTGACCCCAGTGGAGAACCACCAGCTGGGTGGCTCTTTCCCAAGGTGACAAGGACAGCAATGAGGACAGCTGAGCCTGGTCTCAGGCCGAGTGGCCTTTCTGCTGGCCTTTCCCTCGCAGGTCCAGGGTGGCGAGCGGGCTCACTAGCTGTCCATTGGCTGAGCAGGAAAAGGGGCTGCTGCCTTGGGAAACCTCCTGCCTTCACTAGCAAGCTGCTGGAGGTGTGACGGTGTCTAATCACAGTGCCGAGGCCAAAGCCTGCTGTTACTTTGAGCAAGTTAAGTGTCAGGGTGGAAATGGCATGTGTTGGGGAGGGGGAGCACATTGCCCAGAACCTGATCTTAGCCCTTCTGGTTTAGTTCACCCAGAAATCAACAACCAAGGAAGGAAACCTAGGCACAGAGGTGTGGAAGACAATACTGTAGAGCATCAACATCACCACAGCCCACTGCTGAGGAGATAACGTGATGGATGCCCACTTGCCCTTCATCCATGAATTCCTGGTGGCCTCTCCATCTCCTCTCCATCCCAGGGTGTCACTGCTGCGCAGCCCGAACCATTGGCTGGAGGTGTGCAGGGACCTGGGGACAGCTTACCCCACTGAAAGAGCTGGTCCAAACTCCTGTTCCCAGTATCTGCTTCACCCCTACAGGTGAAGGGACTTCATCAGGAAGGAAGCAGCAGGAGATAAACTAGTCCTGATGTGCTGAATTTGACTCTGCTGTCCAGAAGGGGCAGCTGCAGATGCTACCTTAAGTGGGACTGCAGGTGAGATTCCCATCCCTTCAACGGAGACCCTGGGCAAAAAGCTCCTTTAAGTTCTAAGGAGCCTTTGAAAACTGTGTTTTATCTCACATAACCTGATCTGAAGCCTACCAGGAAGTGCAGCAGAAAACTTCCACTAAAATACTTTCTGGGGTTTATCAGGGCTTTTTTTTTCTTGTGTGCATGTGGTCATGTATGTTAGCAGCAGGGAGAGCACCAAAGGGAGCACCCCATTGTTTGGATGTAGCCAGCCAGACCACAACACCCTCAGCTTCTGTTGCAACCCCTGCTCTGTTGGAGACTCTTCTGCTGAGTCTCCAACCTTGCTCATCCTCTCTCCCTCTGCAAAGCAGGGATAACCCTATTAGCTACCTCGCAGGGTTGTTGTGAGGAGTTGAGAGTTGCTCTTTGAGAAATGCTGTATGAATGTTCAGTATTTGTGTTTTGAGACACCATGGGTCCTTTCTAGGACAACAGTGCTTGAATTAGTTTTAATTTAGAGTACAGTTTTCAGTAACCGTGCAGTAGTTATACCTATTTGTGTATTAAAATACTTGGGCAGTATTTCAGGATAGGTATTGACTGCCTTTTGCTAGCAGCCCACTAGCCGCTGGAGCTCGCAGGGAAGCAGTGAGAAGCATCTGAGGGCTGGTGGTCACCTCTTGGCTTGGTTTCTGTAGCTCGGGAATCTGTCTTCTCCTTGAACCACACATAGGACTCCTGCTAATATGTCTGAGCATTTGGCTCACACGTGCGAGAGCTGAGACCTCTT